AGCAAGGAGGCTTGGGGAGTGGACGTACTCCGGGTTGGAGGAACCACTATAAATCACGGCTTGATTTTCTTTTCCCTCTCTTTTATTTTTTTGCACTATATTGCTCTTGTTTATTCTGCACTCTATTTGCAAGATTGCAATTGATCTTTGTTTTATTTTGCATAACAGATTATACATATATATTGAAAACTTCATTCACATTTTTATAAAGGAAAAGAATGAGTTTTATGTCTTAGGAATTGGCTTGGGGTAGCTAGCTGGGATCACAATTGGTATCAGAGCAGGGTGCCTCCAGAGGAAGATAAGGTCAGAAAAATTCTTCGCTCCTTCCCAAAATCCTGGAGTTCAATCAAGACGACAATAGAAGAAGCTCATGATTTAAGTACCATGACTGTTGAGATGCTACAAGGGAAGCTTCTTACACATGAAATGGCCATGAAAAATGATGAAAGTGATGATGATTCTTGGAAGAAGAAATCTGTAGCTTTCAAAAGCTCCTCCAAAGATGAAAGTGACAGTGATGAAGAGGATGATGAAGAATTTATAGTGCTTGCTCGAAAGTTTAAAAGTTTCCTAAGGAAAGACAAGCTGAAGAATCAAGGACAACAAAAGAAATATTACAAAAGCAGTAAAGGAAAGGGAGAGAGCAGTAAAAAGGATGAGACTATTTGCTACAAATGCAAGAAGGCTAGACATATTAAATCTGAGTGTCCAAACAATGATGAAAAAAGTCTAAAAGCCAAAAAGAAAAAGAAGGCAATGGTTGCCACATGGAGCTGCAGTGAGGACTCATCTTCTAGTAAAGAAGTAAGTGACATGGAGGCTCATATTTGTCTCATGGCAAATGATGACACAGATGAGGTAAATTCCAATTCTTCTTCTATTTTTGATCATGCTAGTGATGATGAAATGCCATATGAAGATTTGCAAGATGCATTTAGTGAATTATATGAGCATACTAAACAAATTAGCGCAAAAAATGCATCTTTAAAAAGGGAAATTTTGTCACTTAGAAAAGAAAATAGTGATTTGAAAGAATCTTTAAATGAGGAAAAGATAATTAGTCAAAATATGGAAACTGACTTGGAAGAGTCAACAATTGCATTTAGAAATTGCAAACAAAAGCTGATTGAAGAGTATGATACGCTGGTAGATGAATTAAAGAGGAAAATAAGCTCTCTTGAATGTTCATTGAACAATTTTGTGAAAGGCAAAGGTAAGTTAGATAACAATTTAAGTTCACAAAGATTTCCTCATAATAAAGCTGGACCTTCTTTTGAATTATCTAAGTCTTCCTCATCTAAATCTACTGTTTTTATGAATTGTAATACTTGGCATTCTTATGACATAGTAGAAGCATCAAGTTCTAGAGATAATCATGTTCATGATGGTATTATTTGTCATTATTGTTTAAAAAGGGGACACTATATTCATCAGTGCTATACTAGAAAGAATTTCTTTAAGATGAATTTAAAGTGGGTTCTTAAGAAAATTTCTATTTGTTCGACTAACTTAAATGGACCCAAGAAAGTTTGGGTACCAAAATCAAGTGCTTAAGTTGTGTTTTCAAGGAAGCTTGAAGGAAAATTTGAAGAAAGAAAAATTTTCTGGAAAATGGGTGTCCTAGACATATGAGGAGACAAATCACAATTCTTGAACCTTGAGGCAGTGGAAGTAGGAACGGTGATTTTTAGTGACAATGCAAAAGGTCACAGGTATTGGCAAAGTAGGTAAGAATTATGGTTTAATTATAGAAAATGTTTGACTTTGATGCTATCTTGGTATTATCTTTTGTCTACTGCATTTTGCTGTTTTGTATGTTTCTTTTTGCTAATGACAAAAAAGGGGAGAGGAACTTAAATGAAAATTATCTTTATTACTTGTTTGTGCAATTCCTATTGAAACTTGGAAGCATATTTTGAGGGGGAGCTTACACTTGTTATCTTTATTATTTTAAGGTATTTTGTCATCATAAAAAAGGGGGAGATTGTTAGGTTGTCTTTGTATTTTTATGATGATTTTAAACCATGATTCAAAAGAGTTTAATCTATTTTTGTGCTAAGTGTATAGGAAAATTAATCCAAGGTTTCTAATCTTTCCCCACGATTAGAATTAATTCATGTTCCTCCTTGTTTAGAGTTCTGGGTTCGAACCAATTTATTTTGGTTCGAATCAATCTCGGACTCTTGTTTTCCGAAAATGGTTCGAAGCAATATTTCTGGCTTCGAAGCAAAAATTCTGGAAGGGTAAATGTTGACAGCTCATCTATCCATTTATTCTTATTCTCAATGGGCCTTGGGGAACCATTGTCTAAGCACTTTCCAAAGTCAAGTAAAAAATAATAAAGT